TAAAAAAAAAACCCCACAAAAAAAAAAAAAAAAAAAAAACTGTACAGTCAGCCATGTGGGATCCAGCCATCTTCACCCCTGTGCCACTGGCTGGCCCTCTTGTTTTTATTTTATAGTTTCCATCCTCATGGGTATGAGGTCATATCATTATAGCTTTGATTTTCATTTTCCCAATTTGTAATGATCAAATCTCTTAAATGAGATAGAAAAAATTTGTCTTTTTAATTGTAAGTGCATGGAAGTGAAGACCATGCTGTTAAGTTAGCTTAGAGCCACAGTTTGATTTGTGCTGAAGCTACAGCAGTTTTGCCCATCATTTCTGTTTTTTGTCCCCTTCCCATGACTGCATGACATCAATACAGATGTCAACACTGAAAAAGACTGTCTTAGCGTTATTATGAAAGTAATTTCAACCTCTCAGACTCATGTGTTTCCAGACCCCTCTTTGAGTATTGCTGGATTATTAATATATGTTCTGTTGTGCTCTGTCATCATCTTTTTTAAAGAATTAATTTTATTTATCATTATTATTATTTTTAATTGCCCACCAGAGAAAGAGAGAGAGACTGAGAGAGGAAAGTGAGAAAGCAAGCTGCCAGGCAGGACTTGAACCATGGTTAGCCATGTGGGAATCTAGTGCCTTAACCACCACACCACCTGCTGGCCCTTATTGTCATGTTTTAATACAGATTTTTCATTTTTATGTTTAGGTACCTGGTATGGTTAAAAAATTAGTGTTATTTATTATCTAGGAAGATTGAGTAAAGTACTTCCATCGGATTTGACCTATAATATTTAAGATACTTAATATGCTATGGCATTGGTTCCTGCGTTACCTGCACATCGATCACCTGGAGTGCATTAAGAACTCTGCATAGGTCCCACCCCTAATGGATCTGGGATGCCCCTTGGAGGCTGGAATTCAGAAAATGTCCCAGTTGATTTTAATATGAAACTATGTAGCCAAGGTTGTGGACAGCTGCTTTATAGGAAATGAGCTCTGTTTTGATTAGTGGTTCACCAGCTGTTTTCTACATTAATGAAATAAAATTGAATTTTTTAACTGACATATGCAGTTCCCAGGTAAAGATGGGGATGGGATGGGGTAGGAAGGCACTTCCCAGTGGGGTGTGTCTTACCAAACTCCTTTCTCCATTCTTTCAAGAGTTTGGGCATACATGTACAAGCGATTTGAACCACACTGTCAGTCATGTGGAATCAGGCTCTCATAGCCACTGGGCCATGGGACTGGCCCCAAATTGAGTTTTTAGAAGGGGTTTTATTGGAATAAAAAGAGATTATATTATGATATCAAGTGGTTTTTAAACTTAAGAAATAGTATTTGCTGGCCTGGTGGTTAAGATGCTGAACTCCCACATGTCTAACTGTGGTTTAAGTCCTGGACCTTGTGACTTGCTTTCTTGTTTTCCCTCTTTCTCTCTCTCTCTCTCTGGTGATCTCACATACCATATAGAAAATTAAAAAGTAATGGTAATAATAAGTAAAATAAGTCTTGAAAGAAATAAATAGTAGTTGGTATTATGGAAAAATTTACCTAGGTAAAACAACATAAAACATAGTGATTTTTTAAAAGAATTTTTAATTTAATTTTATTTATTACTATCACTGTTTTAAAAATTCAACAGCATATTTTTTTATTTAACTTTATTTATTTATTCATTTTTTATTTTAATTTGACCAGAGAGAAGCAGAACGAGAAAGAGAGAGGGAAAGTGAGAAAGTAAGCTGCCAGGTCCAGGACTCCAACTGTGGTTGGCCATGTGGGAGTCCAGCACCTTTAACCACCATGCCACCTGCTGGCCCTCTTACTTTTTCTTTTTTAAAATTTGTTATAGGGCACGTGCACTGACTAGAGAGAGACAGAGGGAGGGAAAACTGAGAAGGCAAGCTGCCAGGTCTGGAACTCGAATTGTGGCTGTGTAAGAGTCCAGTGCCATTAACCACAACACCACCACCCCATTCTAGTGATTTTTTTACAATGTAATTGGTAATTCTGATTGAAATATTGTGGTCTGTGGTGGGTCACTTGTTCTGAAAACTTGCACTTGTTTTCCTTTTTCTTTTTGGGGGGGCAGGGGAAGAGGTTTTTGCTATAGGGCGCGTGCGCTCACCTGAGAGACAGAAACTGAGAAATCACCCCTCAGGGGAGATGGCCACACCGCAATCGCTTCTCCTCTCGGGATCTTGGGCACGCACGCACACACACTCTGCATGAGTTTAAGCCACCAGGTCCAGGACTCCAACCACAGTCTACCACATGGGAGTCCAGCGACATAGCCATTACACTAACTGTTGGTCCCAAAACTTGCACTTGTTTTCTAAACCACTGGATTTATCGCGTTTTCAGTGTTTAGATCTCAATGTATAGGAAGCAAAGTATTAGTATTAAGTAGAGATAAGCATACCTTAGAAAATGATTTTAAAGTAATTCAAGTATATTTTTCAGATGCTGATTGTTTTTACCTTTTTCTTAGAATTTAAAATTAAAACTAAATATTACTCAAAGGATTTTTCCCTTTGTTTCTTTTAGAATTGAAGTTGGGGGAACTGCTTCATGATAAACTGTAAGTATTTTTCTGTCTTTTGAAATAGTATAGTGTAATATTCTAGTCTTTTTCCTCATGAATAATACTATTCCCTGAGGCCCTAGTAAATGTACATTTCAAAGCTGTAAGAATGAAAACTAATTTTAAATATATTTTTAATCTTGGTGAGCTCTTTTGAGGTAACTGACCTTGTGATATGAAATGGTTGTACTTGATATTGTTACTTATTCTTTCCTTGAGGGTAGATGTGCTGAATGTGATATTTCTTTTCTTTCTTTTTTTTTTCTTTTATTATGTCAGAAGGTATGTGTGTACATGGGGAGGGGGGGTGTTAAGCAAGAGAGAGAGCACTCCCCAACAGAGCCTAGTGACTGTAATCCTTTGCCTCCAGTTCCCTATTCTTCCAGGATCCTTGGTATGTCTAAAGCACTGGGGCCCAGGACTGATACCTTGGTCGGCCAGGTGGGAGCTGGAGCTTCCTTCACACACAACTTAATTCCTATCTTATTGGGCTAGCCCAGTTGTAGAATTTCTTGAAGGAAAAGTTTCAGTTATATGTCAGATGTGATAGATGACTAGAGATCAAGTGACAGAATGTCTACATGAAGTAAATTGAGAATCTTTGGGAAAGCAGAACAAAGGGAAATGCCTGGGTATTTATACTCCCCTAAGTAGCCTCAGTTTGCAAACTACTGTGGCCAGACTCTATTTTCAGGGTTGGGAATATGATATTTTGGATTAGTACATGAACAAGATTGGAAATTGAGAGTTGGGGGAAAGGAGGTAGAACCTGAAATTCAGTTCTTCTCAAACTTTAGTGTATAGCAAAATGAACATAAGTCTTTTAAACACTGCTTGCACCCTAAGGCAAAAACAAAATAAAACAAAACAAACACTTGCTGGGCTTCACACTCCAGTTCCCTATTTAGTAAGTGTGGTATAGGATCACAGGATTTCAATTTCTAACAAATTCCCAGGTGAGGTTGGTATTGCAGATCCACTTTGAGAATCACTGCATCATCATTATTTTTTTTTGAAGAGGAATTTTATTTAATTTTATTTATTTTAATTTGACCAGAGAGGGACAGAGAGAAAGAGAGAGAGAGAAAGAGAAAGCAAGTCACCAGACCTGGGACTTGAACTGCAGTCGGCCATGTGGGAGTTCAGCCTCTAACCACTACACCACCTGCTGGCCCCTGGAACCACTATTCCAACTGCTGGCCCCTGCATCATTTTGATGGCTCAGGCAGTGGTAGAAAGGACATAAGCCAAACCACAGGTTAATACTGGAAAGAATGTGGTTCCTTGTTGTGGAACAGGCTCAAGGGAGGATAACTAGAAGGACTTGGCTCTTCTTTTCCCTAAGGTTTTAGGCTGTGAGCCTAAGGAACATGATTACCAGCAGCCTAATGACCGTCTATTAAAGTTGTATCCTTTTGATCCCTACCTCCTTTAGCCTATTTTCTTGGCTAACATAGTGTACATGTGTAACGTATATAATTTATCTATCTTTATTGTTTATTGTCTGTTTCCTCCCATTGGAATGTAAGCTCCATGAGGTAGGCAAATCTGTTTTGCTCACTCTTGTATCACAAGTGCCTAGAACAAAGTCTAGCACATAGTAGGTCCTTTTTGTTGAATGGATGAAATAGCTAACTTAATGCTACTGTAGTTTCTGTAGTAGTTTTACTGTTTAGGCAAATAACTGATTGGTATAGATTTTAATTGTGCTGTTAAAAACATTTTTTTTAGCTCTACCCACATAAATCATAAACAGATACTTTGTTTTTAACAAATTATGACATTAGAGAAAGCAGTAAACTTCTCATAACACCATCCCCTGCATAATGCCTGCTTTTGCCCAGAGATAATCACTGTTTTAAATTGTAAGATTGTTGCATGTACTTCTGGTACTTCTGGACCTTTTAAAAATTGCATAAGTGAATAAACATCTATAAAAGTTATCCATTATAAATGGAAATACATGGTGTGTGTTATTCTACAGATTCATCTCTCATTTGCTATATCTGGGAACTTTTTTATGTTAGTATGTAATAGTTCGTTTCCCTGTTATATTTTATAAAATGGCTATATCCTTCTATGATGTCTTTATTGATGGACTTTTAGACAGCAACATGTTTTTGATAATGTGGGAAAATCAAAAGCGTTTGTAATTCATAAAGGCCTCTTACATGTGTGTAAGTATTTTTCTAGGATAGAAATCAAATGCTTGGCTCATAGTATTTGAGTATTTTATATCTTAATGTGTTCAATCAAATTTCCTTCAAACAAGTCATTGTTAAAAATACTCCTACCAGCAATGGCTGAGAGTACACTCGGTATATTTTTTTCAATTTTTCCTATCTCATAAACAAAAACAATTTTAATTGCCAAAAGACATCTTCACTTGAGGGAGTAGGGAGAAAAGCCTCCATTCTACCCCAGTGGGTATGGTCATGCCACAATCTCTTCTCCTCCATTTCTCCCTCCAGTTGGGATTTTGGGGATGTACACATGTACCTGGTGTGTTTTTCAAATAGCTATGGCCAGGATTTGAACTGAGGTCAGCCATGTGGGAACTGGCTCTCTTTAGCCACTAGTTTTGGTTTCTGTTGTTGAATTACATCTGAACTTGAGTGGCTTTTTACTTTCTCATTGATGATTTACATTTTCTCTTCTGTGACTTGTCCATTTATGTTATTTGTGTATTTTTCTGTGAAATTTTTGTCTTTTTGTACTTATTTGTATAAGCTAGTTATATATTCTGCTTATTAGCTGTTTTGTTGTTGGGAGGGGGGGTTGCCATAGGGCACATGTGCTTTTTAGAGAGAGACAGAGGAAAAGTGAGAAATCATCCCTCAGGGAGGTTGGTCATGATGCTGCAATCCCTCGCCACTTTCTTGGGATTTGAGGCCTGTACACACATGCATAGCCACTACCTGCTGGCCCCTGGTATTAGCTGTTTTAACTATGTTTAAACTATGGTGTATATAAATTTAAATTGTATATAAATTTAAAATATTTCCAGAGTTGCAGTTACCAAACTTTTCCTTTATAGTTTTATAATTATTGAGTAGTAGTTATTTGCTTGCTTGTCTTACGTCTAGAATTTAAATCTGCCTAGGGTTTATTTTTTCAAATTATATGAATCTGAGATTTAACTTTTTCCAGATGGTTAATCATTTGTCTTGACAGTATTTACTGACTAATCTGCTGTTTTTCTGCTAACATGAAATTCTGCCTTTATCCTGTATAGTTCCCAGAAACGTGGGTGTGTACTCTTTATACTCTTTTCCACTTATCTGTGTATTCTAGAGTTATTTTAATTATTGTACAGCTTTATAGTATCATTTGGTATTTTATGAATCCCTGTTGTTTTAATTGTCAGAATTCTGTTCTTAAATAGTTTTTCTTTCAGCATGGAAGGTGTTTAAAAATACCATTTGATTAGCATTACTTCACATTTGTAGGAGAGAGCTGTCATATCAGCAGTGTCTTAACTTGAAGCATTAGGGGATTAGAGGGATTACAAGGAAAAAGAGTCTGTGTCCATAAATCTTTTTGATGTCTTAATGTTTCTTTTTAGCTGAGAATAATGATATAGTGTGATATGATAGAGGTCTTTGTTTTCCTGGTAGTCTAAAAGTTTAGATTAAGCAAAATATGAAGTCATTAGCTCAATGGCTACTCCAAGTTTCTTTTAGGCTTTTCTTTTCCTCTTTTTTCTTTTCTTGAGGCTTCTTATCATAATGATATGCTTACTAATCTGTCCACATAGCATCACTGCTATCTGCTTTTATGGCAAATTATACACAAATACCAGACCTTAGGATTTCTGCCAAAACTTTGGGTTTGTGGACTGTAATGTGCCAGATTATTGTACTTTTGTAATGTTAAAAAAAAGGGGGGGAAGAAGGGTAAAAATTATATTTGGTAATGATATTCCAAGTCTGACTTTCTAAGTGTTATAGAGAAGATTATTTAAGGAAGACAAAATGAAATCCTTATAGATTATTTGATCTTTTCTTTTTTTCTAGGAGTTTTTAAGGGACAACATTTTGAAGGAAACATAAAATATCCTTTGTTTTAACTTTTACCTCTCCTGTGGTGCATGTAAAATAATTCGATTGACAAGTACATGAAAGAATATCTATGTTAAAGGATAACTGAAGTAAAAGTGTTAGCAAGTTTAGAAGATTAAGTACACAGATATTGTAGTTACTAATAGGTTTTTATGCTATTTTGGGAATCTGGGTAACCTTATTGGCTCAAAAACATTGTGTGGTTGCTTTTTTTATTTGTAGATTTGGTCTTTTTGAAGCCATGTCTGCTATTGAAATGATGGATCCCAAGATGGATGCTGGCATGATTGGAAACCAAGTTAATCGAAAAGTTCTCAATTTTGAACAAGCTATCAAGGTAATCATTGTAGTTTTTGTTGTATTTATTGTGTCATATGTTAACATTTTTTGGTTAGTAAAAGTCTTAACATTAAAGCATATTTTCTTAAAATTGTAACAGTATGTATGTATATGTGAGGATTAGTAATAGCCTTTAGTTATCTGTCTGTTGAAATCTGAAAATTGTTTAAGGTGTTTAATTAAAGATTTGCTCTAAATTTGTACATTTGCATATCTTTAAAAAATTGTACTGCTTATTTTTAATTTGCTATATGTATGCTCACCAGAAAGAGAGAGAGAGAAAGCAAGTTGCCATGTCTAGGGCCTGAACCATGATCGGCCATGTGGAAATTCAGTGCCTCAATCAGCATGCCACCTGCTGGCTCCACATTTGTGTTTTGTTTGTTTGTTTGTTTTTTTAAAGAGATTTTTGTCTTGGGGTACGTGTACTTGCCAGAGAGAGAGAGACAATGAGAGGGAAAACGAGAAATTACTCCCTTGGGGGGATGGCCATGCGGCAATCCATTCTCCCAGGGTCTTAAGCACATAGGCACATGCATCCGGCCGCGTTTGTGTATTTTTTTAAATATTTTGAAAGCATTTGAGTATATATTAAAATACCAGGATAATTGACATAGGGATTAAATTTTATGTATTAGTAAATTAAATATAATGTTTGTGATGTTGAATTTAAAATTTACTGAATGAGAATTGATTTAGAAATTCATCTGTAGTTGCCAGTTTAATTTTTGCATATTTTTAAACAAAGATTCTCTAAGCAAATGGATATTGTAAACACAATTTGCAAGTACCATATTATGGTTAACAAACTTGAAGTGTTTTTTTTAAATATTCATTTTTTTTTTCTTGGTACTTTTAGGTCATTAAAATGATTCAAATTTATTAATGTTTAAAACTAATTTGAGATGGGAACCATCAGTTAGTGTAATGGCTATGTCGCTGGACTCCCACGTAGTCGACCGCAGTTCGTGTCCCGGACCCAGTGGCTTAAAACTCATACCGGGCGCATGTGTGTGCGTGCGTGCCCAAGATCCCGAGAGGAGAATGGAGGAGAAGGGATTGCGGCGTGACCATACCTCCTGGGGAATGATTTCTCGCTTTCTGTCTCTATGTCTCTCTCTGTCTGTCTGGCGAGCGCACGCGCCCTATAGCGAAAAACCTCTCCAAAAAAAAAAAAAAAAAACTAATTTACTAATTTGAGGGACCAGCAGGTGACATCATAGTTAAGGTGCTGGATTCCCACATGGCTGACCGCTGTTTAAGTCCTGGACCTGCCAGTTTGAAATACGTGTACGTGCATGCCCAAAATCCCGAGAGGAGAATGGAGAAGGGCCTGGGGTGTGGCCATCCACCCTGGGGTGGTGATTTCTCTCTTTTGTTCTGTCTGTCACCCTCTGTCTCTCTCGAGCAAGTGCATGCATCCCATAACAAAAACCTAAAAAAAAAAAAAAAAATCAAAAAATAAAAATCCCAATTTGAACTGTGCTTTTAAAATATTTGTTAATTTGACTTTTCATTTCATTATAGAGGCCTTTATTGTTTCTATTTAGACTTTGATTTTTCTCATTGAAGACTTAAGATATATTATTCTTAAAATTATTATGTGTCAGTTAAAACTAAAATTTAAGAATATGCATTGTTTTTAAGAATAGAGAGTTAATTTGGTATCTTAGTTTTATCAGAAGATGAGGTAGCATTTTCATAGATTATTTTTAAAGTATTTAAGTTTTGAAATCCAAAATACTTCTATACATAGTACCACAAATTTTAAAAATTTCCTGTTTATATGTCATATCTTTTCTTTTTTAGGATGGCACCATTAAAATTAAAGACCTCACCTTGCCTGAGTTGATAGGGATAATGGATACATGTTTTTGCTGTTTGGTAAGAATTAAAAAAAGACTGTTGGTTAATTAAAAAATTATAACTTAACCTGAATCTTTGAACTTAAAGATATATATACCAGTGTTGAATGTGAAATATATGTAATGCTAGGCCTAATAAGGTGTGTATAAGATTAGTAGCCCACGTTATGCCACAGGAACCAGTGCCTTATCTTCTCATCTGGGCCATCCTAGGCTTTCATCTTCTGGGTGAAGGAGTATTATAGTTATTATCCAGATACCCTTTTTATTCTGAAGTTACCCAGGTAAATAAATCTGAAAATTAGAAGACTTCCTAAATAAGCATGGGATTGAAACAAAGGGAGCTTTGGACTATCATCAGAGAGATTTTTTTTTACTGATTAAGAATAAAATGTAGTGGGGGACCAGTAGATGGTGTAATGGTTATATAACTGGACTCCCATGTAATTGCTTGTGATTCAAGTCCTGAACTTGATGGCTTAACACTCATACCAGACACGGGGGGCCAGCAGATGGCTTGATGGTTAAACTGCTGGACTCTCCCAGATGACTGACCATGGTTCACGTCCTGGACCTGGTGGCTTGTTCTCTCACTTTTCCTCCCTGCTTCCCTCCCTCTGTATGTGTGTGTGTGTCTCTCTGGTCAATTTTTTTTTTTTAATGACTGAATAAATTAAAAAAAAAAAAAAAAGCCTCACACCAGGCGCATGTATGTACCCAGAATCCTGAGAGGAGGAGGGATTGTGGCATGGCCAACCCACACCCCACCCTGTTTGCTCCTTCCCTCAGCTCATGCGCCCTATAGCAAAAAAGACTCAAAAAAATTGTAGTAAAATGGCCATCTACTGTGAAGAAAATGTTTAAGACATTTATGTATACTGCATGTGTCTTCCCTAGCTAGCGTTGTTTAATTGGGAAAACATTCTTTGTACCCCTTTTTCCCCCTATTATCTAACCATTTCTCTCTTTTTCAGTTGATACTGAATCATTGTCCTTAGAAATATGTAAAATTTTGGGCCATCAGGTGGCATGGTCGTTAAGGTGCTGGATTCCCAGACTGCCAAACATAGATTGAGTCCCAGACCTGGCAGCTTGAAAATCATGCCAGACGTGTGCACCCAGAAAATTCCTGAGAGGAGAACAGAGAAGGGATTGAGGTGTGGCCATTCCCCCCTGTGGGGGTGATTTCTCACTTCCCTCTCTGTGTTTCCAGCAAGCACACGTGTCATGCCCTGTGCCAAAAACCTTAAAAAAAAAAAAATGTAAAATGTATTTGTTCATTCAGCAGACTCCTCTGTGCGTGAAGTACTTTCATTGAATGTTTTGCATGTGTGATTTCCATTTAGGTCTTATATCAGGTGTCTGTATTATCCTATCTAATTTGCCTAGGGTTAGATTACCAGGAAGGGGCATAGCTAGAATCTTAATTCTGATTGTTTTCCCTCCAAAGCTTTCTTTCTGCCTCTGAGCTATCTTTTATTACCTGGTAGCAGTTTGTAGTCTTAGTGTTACAGCGTACAGGTCAAGAAATAACTCTGACAACATATAAATGCTTTATAATGGTGCTGTGGAGGCAGAAAAGTGAGGTTAATTACATCTGGGAGGATAAGAAAGGCTGTAGAGAGGAAGTGGTGCTGGTGGACGTACTGTAGAAAGGCAGGCATAGGACAGTGTTAATGGTGTTGCGCACAAAGGGATGTGTTGCGTAAGCATGGAGTACAAACAGGTTCAGCATAGGCCATCATGAGCAGCTGCTTACAGCTGAAGTCTGGCAGGGAGCCAGGTGGGAGGAGTGCAGGGCTGGTGGAGAAGGAAGAAAAGGTAAACATAAGAAAGACTTTCCTAAGAGGTGAGGAACTACTTGTGAAACTCTTGGGACCATATCTGAGAGTTTGGACTTTAATAGGCAGATGGGCTCATTTTATAATGAAGTTGTATATGTCTTGCTTCATTGCAGAAATCTTGGGCTTTAGTGTGAAATATAACCATATAAACTTGGGCAAGTTATTTAAACTCTCTACTTCCTTCCTATTAAAGAAGAAAAATACCACCTTCCTCAGTGTTACCAAAAAGGAGATAAGATACATGAAAATACCTAGCATAATGTGTGGCACATAGATACTCAATATGGCAGCTGTTGGTATTCCAAGCATCTAAGTAAGAGACATGGTGCCAACCCTACGGTCGCCATTCAGTAAAATAGTGTCAAATGATTATCTTGGTGGTTTGGACAAAACCGTCTGGCTGGGAATATTGAGCTAGAGATAGGAGATAGGAAAACCATTGCATAGTTTCTGGCAGAAGTATAGGTGATATGATGCTGTTGGCTGCATTCGTGGTGGTGAAAAGGAGTTGAATGAGTGGTTAAGAATTTAGTTCTAAAATTGTAAATTCCTCAGTTTGTGAATTTTAATTGACTGCATTGAGGAACTGATTGTTTTTGTATACTACATATGGATGCTACTGTGTTGTGGTCAACCAATACCCCCCACCCCCGGTTTGAAAGAAATTATTTCTCACTTTCTTTCTGTCTACAGTGAGTAGATATGCCCTATACCAAAAAATGTTTGAAAAGTTACTGTTTATAATTATATTGGCTATCTAATTTATTCATCTCCAAAAAATACTACAAGCATATGTATGAGACTACTTTGTATAGCTAGCTAACCATTTATAGTGTATGATTTTTGAAAAACAGTCCATGAAAGTTGAATTCTAACACTTTTTCTGAACTTTTAATCATCTTTTATATTTTGTGATTAATTTTATAATTATTTGGGTCTCTTGCACTTTGACCTTTGAGTGTGGGATCACTTTAGACTTTGTAGTCACTGTGTATCACCTTAAATATACACACTTTTTTAATTTATTTTTAGATAACATGGTTAGAAGGTCATTCCTTGGCACAGACAGTATTTACGTGCCTTTACATTCATAATCCAGACTTTATAGAAGATCCTGCCATGAAAGCTTTTGCTCTGGGAATCTTGAAAATTTGTGACATTGCAAGAGAAAAAGTAAATAAAGCTGCTGTTTTTGAAGAGGTAAGATTTTTGTAATACAGTAATTCTAAAAGCTCATTGACTACCTTTTTCATTGTGATGTTTTTTAGAGTTTTATGATACATAACATGTATAGTTAAAAACAGTTTTTTAAAGTGATGTTACTGGGCTAGTAGATGGTGGCAGATGGAGGTTAAGGTAGCTAGATCCCACATGTCCAGCTACGAGATTCGAGTCCTAGACCCGGCAACTTGAAAAACATGCCATGCACATGTGCATGCATACCCGAGAGGATAATTGAGAGACTATTACGGTCATCCTCCTGGAGGGGTGATTTCTTATTTTCTCTGTGTGTGTCTGCCATGTGCGCACGTGCCCTACAGCAAAAAAATTTTTTTAAAAGTTTGCTGTTTACAGTTACATTGACTAAAGTAATCCAGTTCTTTCCCAGAAAGGGCTTTTCTTTTAGTACAAGTTCTTTTTGAAGCTACCATTAATGGAGTACCTATTATGTGCAGAGTACATAATAGGGGATTTTTAAGTCTTTTATAAATGATAACCCAAAAAGGCAGTTCTTTCCAGTCTTGATAAATGAGGGCTAAAGAAAACAAAGATGAAGAATATTTAGGGTATAAATATTTTCTTCCAGTTTGTTCTAAGTACCTCACCTAAGTATTGTGACTTTTAGACATAGATTTTTTTTTTCCTGTCCTTATAAAAAATAAGGTTTCGGATGCTGACACTTGTAATGGAAAATATGATAGTATGTGATATTACTATTTTTTATTTTTTTCAAATTTATTTATTCTCTAAGAAATAGACAAAGACATAGAGACCGGCATCTCCAACAGGGTGTCATGGTGCAATCCACCCCCAGCCGTAGGCAGTCTGGATGAAGGGTCACATGCCTGGAGTGCCCAGGGAGCTCCTGGGACACAGTACCATGAACTCTTCCAGGACCTCCCATGCAGTTCCAACTGTGCCACCACCATACCTCCACCTGGCCTGCATGATTAACAGTTATTTTTGTTGTATTGTTCCATTTGTTGAAACTTGGTTTCTTTTTTAATATTTTTACTGTTTCAAATTAAGTGTCTTAGGCCCTCACAGTGGTTTGGTGTGTGGTACAGAAAACTTTTCTAATTCACATTATGTATGTAAGAACAGTTAAATCTTACCTAGTATGGTTGTACACATTTGAATGTATGGCTTTTGAGGTACTGTATTTGAAATATTACCTGCTTTTTATGTAATCATTAGTTACTTGTCTATATATTTATATCAATCTGGATGTCATTATGGAAAATATTATCCATGTGGATTGAGAGATATACAGGGACCCTCAACAGGGACTTACCATGCCATGGATTCTCCCTCTTTCAACCTTGCCTTTCCAGCCAGCCAGAATCACAGATGTCCCCTGGCATGTTTAAGTAGACTCAGGAATGAAACTTGGGACCTTCCCATATTGCTCCATTGTCACGCAGTGGTGCTCTACCACCTGTGACTGGGCTTTCATCCTTTATTAAAAAGGGATTTAGGTTGTTAAATCTTCAAATACAGGAGAATAACTTGGACTCTTGGAATATTCATTATATAGATGTAAATGCATTGCTTTGTTTTTAAATAACCTATTTTAATAATAGAAAAATTATAATAGAATATTTGTATGTAATCCAAGGAAGGACTTAACTAATAAGTGGAAAAAATACTAAGGGAATGGACTGATAAGACAAAAATTTTAGAAAACCAATGGAAAAAATAAAGTCAGCAAAGAATTTTTGTGTGTTATAAAGTCTCATTCAGGGCCAGCCAGTGGCGTGGTAGTTAAGACAACTGGATCACACATGGCCAACTGAGTGGTTCAAGTACTGGAACTAGTGGCTTGGAAAGCACGCTGGGCACGTGTGCATGTGGGCCTAAAGTTCTGAGAGCAGAATGGAGAAGAAAGTGCTTTGTGGCCAGCCTTCCTGAGGGGTGCTTTCTCAATTTGTCTGTCTATCTGTCTCTCTCCCAAGCAAGCATATGCACACACCAGGTAGAAAAAAAAAAAAAAAAAAAAAAAAAAACAAAAAAAAAAAACCTCATTCAAGTAGAGCATAATACTAAGGCCTTAATGAATAAATGTTCAGTAAAATAAAGGCCTTTTTTTTTTTTTTTAAGAATTATTTTATTTAACTTTATGTATTTTTTTATTTCACCAGAGAGGGACAGAGTGAGTGAGTGAGAGAGAGACAAAGCGAGAAAGCAAGCCATCAGTTCTGGGACTCAAACTGTGGTCAGCCATGTGGGAGTCCAGTACACTTGACCACCATGCCACCTGCTGGCTCCTGCTGGCTTTTTTAAGAAGGAAGATTATCAATGGACTTCACATTTTAAAAATACAGCCTTGGGAACTGGCCACTGGCCTAAATATGGCTGGATCCCACATGGCCAACCATATGGTTGGATTTGCTGGCTTAAGAAACACACCTAGTGTGTGTTTGGGCCCTTAAAATCCAAAAGGAGGAAGAAATAAAGAAGGGATTGTGGTGTGACTTTTTTCCCTATAGGGAGTACTTTCTCACTTTTCTCTCTCTCCAGTGAGAGAGAGAGAGAGAGAAGGAGAAAGAGAAGTTACTCCTAACGGAGTGATCATTGCATATTCCTTTTTCCTCCATTTCTCCTTCCTATTAGGATTTTGGGCATGTGTACATACATACCCAGCATGTTTTTCAAACCTCTGAGGTAAGGCCAGGATTGAAATCTAGGTAAGGAATAAGTGATCCAGCCCCAATGCATAGGACCTAACACTGAGCTCAGGGACTAACCCTTAGTTCATTTTTCCTTATACATTTTTTTAAGTTTGTTCATTTCACAAGTGTGAGAGATAGGGGAAGAGACAAGCACTCCCAATGGGGTCAGACACTGCAATTTTGCCATCCTTGTCATCCAGTCAGGATCATGGGCGTACTTGGCTCATACAGGTCAAGAAATAAACCTACAGTTCTCTGTATTGATCCAACATTACTGAGCATTGCCTTACGGCTGTGCCATTGCATTGGCTCCATCTATACAACTTTTAAATAAAAATATTTATTGTTAGCAAATGTGCAGTCAGTTGGCACCTTACTTTTTACTAGTGGTAAAGCGTTAGCACAACTATTTTGGAAAACAGTTCAGCACTATGTGTGTTAAGAGTCTCAAACATGTTGATGATTATTTAAAGTAGTTATTTCACCCCTAAAACTTAGCCTTAAATAATTAGAAATGTGGACGCTTTATGCCCAAACATATTAATCAGTTTTTACTAGTAAACAGTTAACACCAACCAGAGTACCATCCCTGAGGTTATGGTTGAAATAAATTATGGATAACTTATTACATATAGTTTATTTTATCTACTAAATGTATATCCATTAGCATGATGAAAGTGTTAATAACATGGGAAGGTGAATTCTTTAAGAAGTTAAAAAGCACACAGTGTAGACACCTATGTAAAAATAAAAGTTGAAAATACAAATAAATGTTTGTTGGTTCCTAGGCTGGAAAGATTCTATTGTTTTGCAAACCTTTTCAGATTTTCCAGTTAATTTTTTTTTTTTTTTTTCAATATTGATTGCCTAGTAAAAGTCCTTAAAAGACCTGGTAACAAATAAATAAGAATGACTTGTAATAGATAAATTACTACTATGTTTTTAATGACTATTTCTAAAGTTCTTAGTTACTAGTGTATTTTGTTCTAATATAGGTCTTCTGAACTGGAGACATTTTTCAGCTGCCTAAAAATATCTTGCTTTCAAAGTGAAAACCAGCTCCCCCATCAGAATGCTTTTCTGAGACCAGCAGTTGGTGTAATGGCTATGTCACTGGACTCCCATGTAATCAACCATGGTTCGAGTCCCAAACCCAGTGGCTTAAACTCATGCCAGGAGCATGTGTGTTCCCTTCTCCTCCATTCTCTTCTCGGGATCTTGGACCAACACACACATGCACCCAGTGTGAGTGTGAGCCATGGGAGTCCAGCAACATAGCCATTACGCCAACTGCTGGTCTCTTTTCTCTGGCCTAGTCTTTCTCCTCTAGTCTATTCTCTATATCACCCCTAATTGTCTTCCTAAAAATAAGTAATCTGGTCTTACTTAGTTTTGCTATTCGACTGTTCTCACCAGGGTGTGAGTGTGCCTACATTTTGAAAAAAGCAATAATACTTGCACATAATTTAAAAGTCAAATTTATACCTAAATCTTAGTTAAATCTGATCCTTTGACTACTCTGCCCATAAACCCTACACAACCTGCTATGATATATCGGGATATAGCATTCATATATTACCCCCCCCATTGCCAAAAATAATAATTCCACTTTTATTTAAATCGTTATACAGTGCTGACATTATTGTGATTATGTAATATTAATGACAGATGAACCAGGTAGTGTATGTTTAGATTTCTCTTTTTTTTTTTTTTCCCATTGGAGGTGTTCACTGTCTGTTTTTCACTTGCTTTGTTTTCTATATACTTCTCCCTGATTCTTCCTGGCCTGTTACTGTGAAACACATGAAATAATCTATCAGTTTACCTTTTTTTGGAATTGCTCTTCTTGCAGTCTTATCTCTGGCTTCAGGCTGCATCAGTTACCTTCCAGGCCCACTACATAGTTGTCATTCTTAACTTTCTCTGCTCCACACTCCTGGGAATTATACTTCCCTCTATTTTTGTTATATCCTTTGTTACATGGGTCTCATGGCTTTATTTTAGATTAATACTTTGTTCAATAAAGTTATCTCCAATTTTTCAGGGCAAAGGGGAAAAAAAGATTTCTGAAACTTTGTATGTAAAAAAAAAGTCTTCTCTGCCCTCTTATTTGATTGCAATAAAATTATATTTTGGAAAATAATTTCCCTCAGAATTTCTTTGGCACTCTAATGTTGTTAACCTGATCCTTTGTATGTGATCCATATTTTCTCTTTGGAAACTTTTAGAATTTTTTTTGAATGACCATACCATAGACTTGGTCATTGCAATCTCTTACTGATCTCAATTTGAAGTATTCCTTTCACA